CTGCTCTCTGGTCCAGACTATCCGAGCATATCTATGCAACAACTCCTGAAGCAGCCATGTTCATTGGGAAACCAACCGAAGGCCATGTTAGCAATTTGTACTTCGGCGAGACTATCTTGGACAATGAAGTTGCCGAAATTCAGGTACATTTTCTGTCATTCTCATTCGCAACGCTGCAATATTCCGTAGACGGCTTGTGAAAACCTCGGCATTAGCATCCTCAATACCCGGTGCGTTTCTAGCAGTCGATATGGTCGACCCTTATCCTTTTCCCAGCGTCGTGAAACATAATAGCACCACATTCACGCTCTTAGTTGCATCTGCCAAAACGCAACCAGATGCCACTGTTGAATTTGGCAAGGGTTCTAAGCTAACAATTCGCTACGGCGATATGGCAAAACCTCTGGCGAAGGCAGTGTCACATCTTTATGAGGTATGTATAACCTATTTTCTCGTTTCACTACCGAAATATTCTTGGCCAGGCAAAGAAGTACGCCCAGAACGCTCATCAAATTGCTGCGATTGAGGGATACATTAAATCGTGCGCCGCCTCTTTACTCATAAGAATGCGAGTCCAACCATACATAGATTTGAGTCTGGTTCGATTGCCGACCACGTCGAGGCTTCAACGCATTGGGTCAATGTGTGTGCATGTTCAGGACGCTGTTTTATTTCGCTCAAATTGTGTTCAGGACGTTGGGCCGGTTGTGGGTGAGTTTATGTATTTTCTAGCAGAACTTAAATATACTCAATCGTTCAGAGTCTTATATTGGAGTGAGTTTAGGGACTTCCGGCAGAGCTTGATCTCAATCTTCCAGTTCGTTGAAACTTACCTCGATCCATGGGGACGTCGCGCCGAATGGCAAGGTGCGGCTACCTGCTCTTAAATATTGGCAGGGGACCCACTCTGTGATAGGATTCACCGCAATCGTTAACAAGGCTCTGAGTGCCAAGTACGAGACACTGGTAGACCGAGCGTCGCACTTGATCCAGGTAAGTATTTGATGCTCTTTTTTGATCTGTTCACCCATGTACACGCATTTTATAGAGCCTCCCATGGGGGCCAGACTTCGAGGTCGATGTTTTCCGCAAACCCGACTTCACTGCGTTGGAAGTTGTTTCGTTCGCGACCGGAGATATCCCTATCGGCTTCAACTTACCAAATTACTTCAGTGTATTTTTTTCTTCCTCTTCTGCTGGCATAGAAAAACTCCTAACAAGTATCTACATTTTCCAGGTCCGCGATTCAACTGGTTTCAAGAATATCAGGTGTGCAGTGGTGACTGTGCCCCCATAACAGTTCGCTTAATAACAAATAGCTTGGCGAATATTGTGGCGGCGAAAGTTCCAGGTGTTAGGGCGCTAGCCTTCATACACCCTGATGACGCGGTTCTATACAACGAATGGGATGACCGAGCTTTCGAACTACTGGGTGCAACTCACGAGGTATATGATCGAGTCTCCCGTCCTCCTATATTACCCTCATTGAGGCTGCCAGTTACTCGGGCACGGCACCGGGAAGCTGTTCCAGGAAAATGCGCAGGGAGAGAAAAACTTTGATCAAGAGAAGGTACATCTCGCTCGCCCTGGTCGATTATATTACTTACGACGTGAGCACAGATTACAAACCCCTTAACCGGGAAACCAATAACATCCTGGTCAAAAGAGTGTCTTCTGAAGCTTTATCTGAGCTGAAATATGTGTTACAGGTATAAACCTGGTCAGACTCCTGGCACAGTCCTTGGCGAGGTGGCATCGTCTATGGAAGAATGCCGAGCGTAAGCGATCACTTCAGGCGCTCGAGTTCATAGCCCTGATTTACTATCTAGAGAGGCTGTAGCTCTCTACCGTCTGTTTTTAGCTCTATCGCGGCCCAAATTCATTTTCTCACATGTTCCACCACAGTCGCCAGCAATCTCGAAATTTTGAGCATCTTCAAAGTGAGAAATTTCTTTCTGTTGTTTTAATGTTCTTAATTTGCCTCTAGTATACTGATGAGCAAGAAATCGAAGACATTCAGTATATCTCGTTCTTGTTGATGGCAAGGGCAGGCCTCCGAGCACTGGAGTATTATAATCCCGCAACCAAGAAGCATGGCCAGGCGCACTTTCAGGCGCGGTTCGGTATCATGCAACACCTGCTCAGGTCGAAGATTGTCACACTCGAGGAAGTGCGTGATGAGGATGGTGCCTTGGAAAATCTATTCGTCCATGTCAGTTTTGGGTATCACTAACAATGTTCACACTCCAAACTCATTGTCCCCTACAGGTGGATCGATCACTGGTGTTGTCAGAGGGCAAGATCGTGATGGGGAAATTGTTAATCGAACTCCAAGTGCGCAAGAGCACAGCTGATGGCACCGGAGCCCAGAACTTCTACACGGACCTTACAACCCCGATGGACATCTTTACGGAGGAGGTGAGAAACCTGGTGCTCAGTAAAAAACTGGTAAGTATATTATGGTTTTGTCATCTGTATAGGCGGCGTACATACTAATCCGCTTCCAGCCACGCAAGATATTCGTACAGCCCAATCTGTTCGTCGTCGACGGAGATGTTCAGCTGAAAGAGTACCCGTTGACCCTGGCAGGTGTAATCGAGAGCTGGGTTGAACGGAAGCTGTAAAGAATCTCCCAGCCACTTGGCTTACTGTAAAGTGATTGAAGTCAAGATCGTTGTGATCCACCATCCATGAGTATATATTGATTTTAGACAAGGGCCACACGACCGTAATACTGAGATACTTAGCGGGGACCCGGATATACGAACTCATCGACTTTCTGGCAAGATTCGTTCTCAGTAACCGCTGAAAACGCGGGTTATATGTGGACATACTCCGCCTCTGTGCGCAACTCTATTTTGACTGGCCTCCAACTCGAATGGAATCGTCCTATCGCTTATCATGACGGCACGAGAAAATACGCCCCGCGTGCTTTGGTCGAGCGTGGCTCTAGCCCAAGTTCTGTGCGATCGATTGCACTTTGACGTCCTCAGAACCCGGGCCCTGCATCCGGAGGATGGTCGGCGGATGATCCGCCGATGCGGAGTGGGGGGGAGGTGTATGGATAAATATGAGGTATAAGGGAGGGGAAGAGCGCGCGCGGGATGGGGGACGGACCGTGGGTGATTGTAAAACGAAGGAATAGTAAGAGATAAAAGCCGTCCTCGATAATCACAGCGCAGAGTAAACTTGCGAGGAACGCACATAGAACGAGAATTGGGAAATGGAATATGGAATAACGGGGGAGATGAAATGCGAAAAAAGACGAAGAACGAGAAAGAAAAAGCACGCACCCCTGCCCGCACCCTGGCCTGCGCCCTGAATGCAACGCGCCCGCGGAGGCCTTCTCGGCGGTTTAACAAGCGAGGTACGAGCATCATTTGTTAAAGCGTCTGTCTACGAGAGACTATCTCGGCGGCGCGGAATTTGTTGACGTGGCGGGAGAAGAGGTCGCTGCGGATGGGGTTAATAAACTACACGCGGCGGGTTAGCAGAGGGGAGGGGGGAGGGGGGTATAGGAAGGTGGATACAGGGGGTATAAGAGAAAGAAATGGAGGGGAATGGGAGGGGAAGGGGAGGAACGGAAGGGGAGGAAGGAGCGGAACGGCCCCACCGGCACGACAGATGCGGATGCGGACCTGCCGGGTGGCACGAAATGGAAAACGTACAAAACAATGGAGTGAATGAAATTCATAGCACACAAATCCACAAAAGATCTTAAGAGCAATGGGATGCAGGAAGGCAAGGGAGAGGAGCAAAGGGACATACGAGAGCGCATATGGCGCGCGCGACGTGCTGGGGACGCGTAAAGGTCGCCTGGCACACAGATCACTTGTGGACGCCGCCCATCGTTGTTTCGTTCTGTCTTTCTTCGTCGGTATATCCGTCAAGTCTCTTCTACAGTCCGTTCCGTGCATCAAGTCGTTTGCTGTCTATCTAGCAGCAGTAGGTCTCAATAGTTGCAGTAGAGCAGCAGTAGTGGAGCAAGCGGTATTGGTGATTCGACTTGCTTCGACCAGCAGAACTTCTCGCTACTGGATTGAGCGGGTGCTGTCGGAGGAACGATGACGTCACCGTTAATTTATTGATGATGATGTCAATTCGGTCAGCAGCGCCTGACCCGCGTTTCACGTCGTTGATCGGGCAAATGCCTTTCCTGTGTTCCTCTGAGTGCCCACTGCTTTCCCTATTGAAATGAACAAACGCACAGCAGAAGAATGTGCTTTACGTTCATCCAAGTATATAACCTGAGAGAAGATCCCAAACTACTGTAAAAATCAAACGAAAAAAGAAACCCAGCGAAATTCGCTTGCCGCCGGCAATCACCCTCCTGTCATTAGCGGATGCGCGTTAAATTTTAATTGCTCATCGCATCATGTTCGATCAGCGCTCTCTCTGACTTTTATTTTTTTCAGCAACAAGTGCGCTTGGCAACCTTTTTTTTCGGAACAGCGCTCTCTTGCTCGGAACACTGACTGGGCTAACAATTTATCCTGCGCTTGGCAAGCCTTTTCGGAAGGGTGCATTTTGGCAGGATTTGGCAGGCGCGGTCCGAGCTTATGGGCGCCGGGCTTGCTTCACCGTGCGGCGCGCAATGAATGAAACGATGAAGTTCTTTATTTATCTTCATACGCACTTGCGCCAGCACATACCGGGGGGAAAAAAGAATGAACGCCTGAGTGCTCATTCGGACGTGGGGAGTCGAACCCCAGACTTCAGCCCACCAAAAGCAGAGATGGAATTTGACGCTGACGTGCACCGTGCGCCACATCCGATGTATTCTCCACCATTTGGACCTCAGTATACAAGTGCCAAAATTCATTGCATTCGATCATCGATCATGTTGGAGGAGAGGGGAATTCTGTTCAGTCTTCGAAGGAAAAGGAGGACAAATCATTACCTGAATTCGGAAGCGGGGAGTTGAACCCCGTTCAAGCTGGGCGAAGGCACAAAATTTTATCCATGCCGGGACGTGAAAAAAAGAACGCGAGCAATGCTCTTTCGGACACGGGGAGTCGAACCCCGGACTTCAGCTCAGTACAACTTTGTGTACGGAGTTATTTGACGCTGACGTGCTCCGTGCACCACATCCGATTCATTTACCTTTATCTGAACCTTGGGATGAGTGTGAATTAGTTCGCACTGGCAATCGCACGCTTCCTTTGACCTCCAAAGTCCTTCAAAGGTTCTTACACGCAGACACCCAGAACGATGCGTACGGAAAATGTATGTTCATCATCAGCATGGTCCACTAGTGGTCATGATCTGGTGGGGAGACTCATCTGCGCAATGATAGCACATCCTACAAAAAACTCAGCAAACAAGCTTGAGTTGGATGCGGGGAGTCGAACCCCGTTCTTCAGCCCATCATTCTATTCAGGCCTATTTACCGCCGACGTGCACCGTGCACCACATCCGATCTCCACCATTCGAACCTCAGCATACTAGCAAATACTCATCACGTCGAGGGCGCCAAGGGTATTGGACTTACACTTGTCGCATACGAAGCGGCATCCTGGAATCGAAGCGAGCGCATCCTGGGATTGAAGAGACTACATGAAAAAAAACCCTGGAATCGATGGGAGTACAGAAGAAGACAAAAAAAAAAAAGACTCGAACGCACACGCCGAATTCGGATGCGGGGAGTCGAACCCCGTTCGTCGATCCGGTCTAGTCGCATTGCATATATCAAGAGCCGACGTGCACCGTGCACCACATCCGATGTAATTCCACCATTCAAACCTCGGAATGAGTGAAAAATAATTACACTGGTTGAACACCCAAAACTTGGCAACTTGACGTGCTGGCAGTGATTGTCTGTACATACAGATCGAAGGAGGGGAGTGAATTATTAAGCGCTTGTCTTGTTGTTTGCTCAATGGTGAGGGTAGTGAATTTGTGGCGAGGCCGGAAAGAAAAGAGAAAAAATAACAGACCTTAGCCATATTCGGATGCGGGGAGTCGAGCTCCGGACTTCAGCTCACTATGCTGACCTCTTATGTAAAGCTAACGTGCACCGTGCACCACATCCGAGTTATTCTCTATGCATTGAACCTTGGGATGAATGTGAAAATGAATCGATGTTTTAAACCATGGCAGGCAAACGTGTTCAACTTGGCCTGGAATAAGTTAATTACAATCAGCAGGTCTGCATGTGAGTTTGTAATTTTCTCTCCATAGAATCATGGAGGAAAAAAAAGGTTTTCATTCACTTCTTCATTTCGGATGCGGGGAGTCGAACCCCGGACTTTGCTAGCAGCCAAAGTTACGAACCTCAAAGTGCTATTTGACGCTGACGTGCGCCGTGCACCACATCCGAGGTACTATCGTCCCCCACCATCCCGGACAAACCTAGTACTCGGACAAACAAGCGTATCTCGCTCAATTCCTGGCCGTTTTCTTTGATTTTTGGTGTTATATAATCTGCAGTAGGCCCTCTATGAATTTCTACCAAGAGATGCACCCAAGATCCTGTGGAACCCTATGGATAATTCGAAAGGATTTGGCGTATGGGCTATTTTTAAATATATGCATTCACTCAAGATCCTGTGGTGATACAGATACGAATTAACGAACCATATAATGTGTATACAGTGTCAATGAACATTGATACCAAGTTTCATGGTAGGAAACAAGCTGGTTCCATCACAATCTTGAAATTCAGAGATTTCCAGATCTGGGGTCTGGCCTGTTCCACGGAAGATGGTACTACGGGAGGCCCAGAATGCATACAGATGGGTTTATGAGATCAGGCTGAGTACTGCTGCACAATTTTGTAACAAATTTGACTCGAATCTATGCCAAGATGAAAATTGATGATGTGGCCAACTTCAGTTTACTGTCGATGCCACAATGAGGCTGGCATCAGTGGAACAAATCTTCGAACAGCGCAAAATATATTTGAAACAGTTCAAATGGACATGAGGAAATGTGCAGAGAGCTTCATCTCGTTCATATCCCTCCAAGTGAATCTTCTACAGACATATTGCTGAAAACAGCCATAAATCCTGATCCCACAGAATTAAATCATTCAACTGAAGTTTGAAGATGATTTTTAGGGTTAGATGTAGTACAAGACATTAGATTAGATGGAGGGGAAGCAGTATACCAAGTTACAGTGAAATCGGTTGAGAAATGAGGGCGAGAGGATGGGATCAATCCTAAATCCGGCCATCACCTAGAACTCGGACACTGGACCGCATCCGAAAGAACGGCGCCGTTTGATGAATTCTTGCCTGTTTCTTATGAAACAAAAATTGTGACCTGGGTAAAAGACAAATTACTGATGATCAAGACACTCAGCTTGAGCCTAGACCTCGCGGATAAAATGATATTCACTTATTTTCCTTAGGTGTCCGAGTTCTAGGGGGATGATAGTATTTTCTATCCATTGAATCAGACGATGAGTGAGAAATAATTTGAGGCTAAAGCCACCCAAAACGCGATATGGCATGTATCCTACTCTACATACTACATCTAGACCGTCCGCCTCTCAAATATCTAGATGCAGGCGGCGAAAATATAAGTATTCAAGCCGGAATGAAGAAAAAGATCTACCTCACCATAGGCTGATTCGGATGCGAGGAGTCGAACCCTAGACTTCAGCCCATTATACTGTGCAATCAAGAAAACTATTTGACGCACCGAGCACCACATCCGATGTGTTCACTCTTAACCGAACCTCGGGCTGAGTGAGAAATAATTGCACCGGTTGAACAACGAAAACAGGGGGTCAGTTGAGGTTCAACTTGACCTACTAGCGGCGAGCTCTTTCGATACCTCCAAAAAGACTGAGAATAATTATCGACCTGTCTTTTTATCTGCTGGTAATATCAGGTGAAGCTTTAAAAGTGTGCCCTGCACCACATCCGAAGTATTCACTCTTAACCGAACCTCGGGATGAGTGAGAAGTACTTACGGTGCTTGAACTAAGTCGTAGATAATGCTGAGAGTCAACTTGACCTGCTAGTAGCGACTCGGAATTCTTTCTTTACATAGCAGGCGCAAAAGAACATCTTCGCTTGTCTTTCCATCTGCAGATGGAGCAGCGAACTTTTACTCGGGTCGAGAAGGAATAAAAACCTCGAGCGATTGGACGCAAGTCGGATGCGGGGGGTCGAACCTCGGATCTTAGCCGTCTTAAACATTATCCACCCATTTGACGCTGACGTGCACCGTGCACCACGTCCGACTTATATTCTATCTATAGAATCAGTGGGTGAGTGAAAAGTGAATCGGTGTTTTGAACCATACAGGCGGGTTCCACTTATAAGCCAATTGCAATCGGCCAAGTTAATTACATTTATCAGGATTCAGCAGGTCTGTATCTGAGTTGTAATTTTCACTACATAGAATCTTGGGGGAATAAAAGGTTTTTTTCGTTTCGTAATTTCAGGGGAAATTCGCAAGCGTGACGAGCTCGAGTACTCCGAACCCCAGTCCTCAGTCGTATCATGCAATTGAAACCATGTGAAGTTGATGTGTACCCTGAACCACGTCCGAGGTATCTTCTATCTGCCGAATCAGGTGCCAAATATACAAGCGCGAAAATTCATCATTTCAAATCACTTCGAGATATCTCAAGCGCACCAACCATTGGTAAATCCGATATACGAGGCGAGGCGACCAGATACCTTTTCTCACTTGGTCACAACCGCGTAACTGGACCGGGTGCGCGTAATTCCATTACTGAGAGGCGCTGTGGCACTCAACTCGTTATTGCGCGGGTGATGTGTCCTCCATGACCTACACGCGTTATAAGGATGCAGGAGCGCGGCGAGCGATGAAAATACGCACATGAAACGCAGTCCAGACTCAATATAGGTCCCACAGTGCGCGGAGGAAGGTGGTACGCGCGGTCTCTTGAAGGTCGATATCTATTGACCAGGGTTCCACTCGTTGTCCAGGAAGGGATCGGCTCAACAGTTCACCTTCTGTAGGTGGCAGTAGGCGCCCAGAGTATCCGGCGTCCCGGGGGATAACGGATCGTACGATTTGCGTGATGCGTAAGAGCATTACCCGTCGACCGGCATGTGCAGGTAGAGTAGAGCGTTCAAACTGTACCAGCCCGGAGCCTGGAGTATTGTTTCAACCCACCCACCGACGCAACATGACTTGGGATCACATACCACTAAACGGATGGTACTTCTGTTGGCCTTGGGAGTCACAAAATGGGTGGAACAATGCAAAATGGGGCGCGGCGGCCCCAAGGAGACACAGTGAGAAGCGTCGCTCGAAGTTAACCGGGAAAGATTGATGGCCACTGTGAAGTATGCGGGTAGCGTAAAATTGCGGGCGATCTTGAAAGACTTTGGGCAATTGTGCAAGTTGTTCCTCTGTGACAAGCCGGTCATGAAGTAGTTGCTCGCGAAGCTTTAGAAGCAGCTTCCGGGATGCTATCCGATACATTGGAACCTCCCACGGAATGCCCGAAGGCATCAGCAGATCGTTGCCGAGAGCAAATGAGGATGGAGATGCCTGTGGTGTGATACGAAGGCGGACACCTCCGGCAAGGGAGGATATTTGAGGTTGGGAATGGAAATACAAAAATCCACGAGCGTTGTCAGGGAATGGAGTGAAGACCTATGTATGAGTCAATGACTATCCTCACTTGGGTTATATAAGATATTCAACACCTTCACCGAGTCCCCTTTAGCCATGTATGTTAATCTTAACTCGGGTGCTGAGGGTGTGGTATGGAGGAAAGAAGTAGTGAAGCTCTTTCGCAGCGACAGGTCCCTAAAGTCAGTGGGCTGTATGTGGTCGGGGTTCAATGTGGAAATGATGTTGGGTCGCCGGCCAATGCTGAGCTGCGTTTTCAGCAGCTTGTTGAGCCGGAGAAGCGGCTCACCTGATACCACGTAGCTGGGAGAAACCCAGTACCGAGAGATGCTCGGATTTTGCATGTCTCTTGAGATGTCTAGTCCAAATACAGAAGCCAGTGCGCCAAGGTGTGGGGGCCATTGTGTGGGCATTGAAAGGCGAGACGAGGCGTGAGAAAGGCCTGTCACCAAGCCCAAACAAGCCACGACAGACACAGCTCTCACTACGACCGCCCAAATTCCAGTAGATGAAGGTACGACAGATTTTTCCATTATACATCCACCACCAGCATGTATATTTCTTCTTCCAATATTATTCTGGCCCGAAAATCTCGCCTCCGTAGGGAATTTTGCGCATCCTTGCCATTCTGTCCTCCTGCTGCGTCATAAAGGCCTGGTGTGTCTTCCACAATGCCGTGGTCCCGGTATCAAGACACACTCTATCTATCGCGAGAGAGACAGCCATTCATCTAGGAAAACTGATGGCTTTTTCGGCCAGTCGACCCTGGAATCATCTGTTCACACCCCAGATTTATCATAGTTTCACAGATTCAGGATAGTTCATAGAAGCAACATCGTCAGTCGTCATCTTACCTCCCTCTATGATCCGACGACCGATACCGTGTCCGCTATGCAACGAGCCTTCATTTCGTCAGCCAGATGGAGTAGGAGTGTCCCGATATCCCCTACCGCTTGACACTGACACCTCTCCGACAGAGGCAGTTTTCCTATCGCACCCGGGTCCTAGATTGGCGAGCACAGGTACGAGGCACCTATCCCCATCTCTATTTTCCTTGTTCGAACTTAGTGCGGCACTACACGTTGCCATCAAGATTTCTGTATGTACATAGAGAAATGAGATATAGTAAGCGTCCACATATCGTCCCTTTGTCCGACTACAACGAATGCTGATTGAAGAACTCCATAATGATCGGCGTCGCATCGATGACTGTCCCCTTCGGGTTATCGTCGTTGGGCTCTATGCTTGGCCAGTCATGCCCAAGTCCGGCAATCGCATAGTGCTGCGTCGCACTTCCCGCACATCCCCACACGTAGTGCTTCACGCTCCCAGCATTCAACAAGGTAATCACCGGATCCTCCTTGCACTCGTTGCGTGCCGCCCAATGCGCGGCCCAGTCGAGTATCTTGGGCAGATTGCCGCCTTTGTGCGGCCCGCCGGTGTACGCAATTGTTGTGTCCGCCAAGCCGTGGAACTCGAGTATGGGTGTCACCGCGCGCGGGGGGTCGCAGTCAGAATTGTCCGGCGCGTTGTCTATGTAGAACGCGCCGCTCACTGGCGCGAAGGCGGCGATGCGCGTGGAAATTAGCGCGCTGCACGCGAGCACGTTGCAGAACCCGCCGCCGATCGACTTTACCGTGGCCCAGATGCGCTCAGTGTCGATGCAGTATGTGGCCTCGAGGTGGTCGAGCAGGTCCTCAACGAACGCGATGTCGTCGATCTTGGGGTCCGAGTACGGGGTGCCCTGCCACTTGTCCT